CCAAAGCTCTACTCTGGCACTTGGAGACCTGGGCATGAGCGGCGAGCGCTCGTTAAACAACTCGTCTAGCCCAATGACCGGTACTGTCCGRCAGGTCTACTGAGTTCAGTGTGGAGGGTCTGAACTCCGAGCTGTAGGCTGAAACGAAGGCCGTCTTTAAGTGTTGAGGCCTGGTTGAGCCACTCCCCTACCGGACCCAGAAGGCTGATGATCCGTGTCTAACGACTCGACTGTCCCGAGGGATACGAACCCCTCCAAGGACCGGTACTGACCGGCGGGCTGCTCGGTGTGGCACAGGAGGCTGGACGGGCTGAGTTGTGGGCTGAAATCGCCAGAGGAACCAAGCTGATCGCGTCGTCCTGTCTGCGACGTTAAAGAATTCTTGCGAAGTTTGGGGGATCTTCTTAAATACCTCCTGATCAGCTCTTGGTTCTGTAGTGACAGCCTTAGAGTAGTCTTGGGTTAGCTGTGATCATCATTGACATGGTCTTATCCTGTGGTCCTTAGGGAGTTAGTCAGTAGATTAGAGTGTCCGGGTAGGTCTACGTGGTGAGGAGTGGGACCTTTGTCGTGCACGAACACCACGATGGATGACTATCCGATGTATGGGCTACTTGTTGGGTTCTCCCTCTGGGGGACCCTTTGGCGTCTCCTCTTTCCTCTGGGCTTTTGGCCCACTTTCACGTGTAGAGTAGGGCCCACTCGTGGTGGGACTTCCACCAACCCCTACACGAAGGAGGAGGAGGAGAAGATGGCCGCCATTCTGCAGGAGAAGAAGGAGAGGATACAGAAAGAAGAAGAAGAGAAGTTGAAAGAGGTGGAAGAGGAGGAAGAAGATGAAACGCCATTGCAGAGGAAGAGGGTGCAGTACAGTGGTAGTAGGGATGAAGAGATGGAGAAGCGAATCTCCGAGTGGGTTGCCAACTTATCCCTGGGCGAAGAAGAAGAGGTGGCGATGTATATCTCTAAAGATGATCAGGAAGCCGCTATGAGAGTTTGGGAAGCAGAAAAGGATGTTGTGAAGCGGCAGGCATTGGAAGACGAAAAGAGGATGGAGTGGAAGTTGGCAGTGATGAGGGAGAAGAAGAGGAGAGTGGACGCGGCAGCGGAGGTGGCAGAAGAATTAGAGGAAGTAAAGAATATAGAAGAGCAACTGGCCGCCCAGACCGAACTCCCAGCGCAAATGCGAGTCATAGACCGAAACGTTGCACGCCTGGCATGAATTCAGGCGGAGCAATATGATTTTAGTGGGAGTCAACACATAGCTGTGCGTTCCATAAAGTTGGGGTTTCGGGACTTTGCGCGTGAGCTGGTGGGCGCTATAGGGACCGAGGTATGTCACCGCCTCGACAAGATTGAGCGGTTCTGTGCCGGCGCCATTGAGGGCGTCAAAGCGGCAGCTCCCAAGCAGGAGGCACGTCCTCCTCGTCGGGAACCGGTCAAAGTCAAATTCCCTGATTCCTACAGTGGAAAAAGGGAAGAGAACTTTGACAATTGGGAGGCCAATGTCAAGGCCTATGTGCATCTGCAACAGGTCTCCCCGGATCACAGGTTCTGATTGCGATTCACGCGCTCAGAGATGAAGCCGCCAGCTTTGCAAGGTCCCTAGTTCGCGCTGCCAATTGCAGCGATGACCCTGTTGCGTACTCCTCATTCACT